CCTCTGGCTTTCCTACAACCTAGGATCCTCATGTGAAAATAAAAATCACAAAATTAATCATAACCAAAGCTCTGCAGCATCTCAGCAATGAGCTCCTACACAGCTGGAGTCCACGTTGAATAGCCAGCTAAAGCCAATGCCAGGCCTAATTTGGATTATTAAGGGCTAATTATCCAGGCTGCATAGTAACCATTGGCCTTGGCCAAGTGTTGAACATGGATTCAACCTCTGTGGGAAAGAAACAGCAGAGCTTTGGTTCTGAACAGAATATTCATTTTCAGCCCCAATGTGGGGACAGTTTAAAGATTCAGGTAGGATCAGAAAAGAGGGAGAATTAGGCCAACCAGTAAGTCTCTTAGCAAGAAACTCTGGTAGAAATAGTTAAAACTTGTTATATGAACTGTGCTAGAAAGAGCTCACATGTACAGGCTGTCTCCTGCCGAGATCCCCTAAGATCCAGAATGCCCTAGGGCACAAGAGAAAGCTACAATCTCAGTTACAAGGAACAGCCCTCTCCTCTCCTTGAGAGGCAAACTCAATTCGGCCACCATGCACTACCAGTCCCACCCCACCTCCACCACCAACAAACTCTGCAAAAACAAAGAGCAAGAGAAGGCCCCAGAGGAATCTATTAAAAGACAAGAATTAGGCCAGGTGCGGTGGCTCACACCTGTAATCCTGGCACTTTGGGAGGCCAAGGCAGGCAGGTCGCCTGAGGTCAGGCGTTTGAGACCAGCCTGGCCAACATAGCAAAACCCTGCCTCTACTAAAAAGACAAAAATTAGCCAGGTGTGGTGGCAAGTGCCTATAATCCCACTACTTGGGAGGCTGAAGCAGGACAATGGCTTGAACCCGGGAGGTAGAGGTTACAGTGAGCTGAGATTGCACCACTGCACTCCAGACTGGGTGACAGAGCGAGGCTCTGTCTCAAAAAAAACACACACTTGCCGGGCGCGGTGGCTCAAGCCTGTAATCCCAGCACTTTGGGAGGCCGAGGCGGGTGGATCACAAGGTCAAGAGATCAAGACCATCCTGGTC